GGTATGTTGTGAATATGCAAACACGTGCACATGTGTATAATACATATGTGGGTGTATGCATGCATGCATGTGCATGATTGCATATGCATGCACACATACACAGGATGTTCGAAGTCTTTTTTTTCTTTTCATTTAAAAAAATTTTTATTTAAAGTTTTGAGTTCCAGTTTCTATCCCTTCCTTCCTCCCTTCCTCTCCCCCCTCCCTGAGATGGCAAGTCATCAGATATATGTTACACATATGCAGTTATGTAAAACATTTCCATATTAATCATTTTGTGTAAGACTCAAATAAAAGAAAAAAATGAAAGAAAGAAAGTGAAAAATAGCATGCTTCAGTCTGTATTCAATCAATATCAGTTATTTCTCTGGAGGCAGATAGTATGCTTCATCATTAGTCCTTTGGGATTGTCTTAGATCACTGTATTGCTGAGAACAGCTAAGTCATTCACAATTCTTCATCAAACAATATTGCTGTTGCTATGTACAATGTTCTCCTGGTTCTGCTCATGTTACTATGCATCAGTTTGTGTAAGTCTTTTCAGGTTTTTCTGAAATCATCCTGCTTGTCATTTCTTAGGGCACAATATTATTCCATTACAATCATATGCCACAGCTTGTTTAGCCATTGTTTAGCTAAATAATTGAGGGGCATTCCTTTGATTTCCAATTCTTAGACACCACAAAAAGAGCTGCTGTAAATATTTTTTGTACAAATAGGTCCTTTTCCCTTTTTTATGAATGTTTTTCGGATATAGATATAGCAGTGGGATTGCTGGATCAAAGGGTATGCACCATTTTATAGCCTTTTGGGCATAGTTCCAAATTCTCTCTAGAATGGTTGGATTGGTTCACAACTCCATCAACAACGCATTAGTGTCCCAGTTTTCCCACATTCCCTCCAACATCCAACACTTTACTTTTTTGTCACATTAGCCAATCTGATAGGTGTAAGGTGATAGCTCAGGATTGTTTTAATTTGCATTTCTTTAATCAATAGTGATTTAGAGCATTTTTCCATATGACTATAGATAGCTTTGATTTCTTTGTCTGAAAACTGGTTGTTCATATCTTTTGACCACTTATAAGTTGGTGAATGACTTGTGTTTTTATAAATTTGCCTCAGTTCTCTATATATTTGAGAAATAAGGCCTTTATCAGACATACTTGTTGCAAAAAATTTCTCCCAGTTTTCTGCTTTCCTTATAATTTTGTTTGCACTGGTTTTGTTTGTATAAAAACTTTTTAATTTAATATAATCAAAATGATCAATTTTACATTTTGTAATGCTCTCTATATCTTCTTTGATCTTAAATTCTTCCCTTAGCCATAAATCTGACAGATAAACTATTCCATGCACTCTTAATTTGCTTATGGTATCATGCTTTATGTATAAATCATGTGCCCATTTTGACCTTATCTTGGTATATGGTGTGACATGTTGGTCTATACCTAGTTTCTGGATACTGTTTTCCAGTTTCCCCAGAAGTTTTTGTCCCAAAAGTTTGGATCTTTGGGTTTATCATATCCTAGATTATTATGGAAATTTACTATAATGTAATTTGTACCTAATCTATTCCACTGATCTATCATTTTATTCCTTAGCCAGCGCCAGATTATTTTGATAATTACTGCTTTCTAATACGGTTTGAGATCTGGTAAAACTAGTCCACCTTCTTTTGCATTTTTAATTGATTCTATTGATATCCATGAGCTTTTGTTCTTCCACATGAATTTTGTTATTATTTTCTCTAGCTCTGTAAAATAATTTTTTGATAGTTTGATTGGTATGGTACTGAATAAATAAATTAATTTAGATAGAATTACCATTTTTATTATATTGCCTTGGCCTATCCATGAGCAATTAATATTTTTCCAATTGCTTAGATATGACTTCATTTGTGTGAAAAGTGGATTTATTATAGGTGTTTTCATATAATTCCTGAGTTTGTCTTGGTAGTTAGACTCCCAAGTATTTTATATTGTCTATAGTTATTTTAAATGGAATTTCTCTTTCTATCTCTTGCTGCTGAGCTTTGTTAGTAATATATAGAAATGCTGATGATTTACGTGGGTTTATTTTGTATCCTGCAGCTTTGCTAAAGTTACTAAAAATTTCAAGTAGTTTTTTAAGTTGATTCTCTAGGATTTTCTAAATATAAAATCATATCAGCTGCAAAGAATGATAATTTTGTTTACCCATTGCCTATTCTAATTCCTTCAATTTCTTTTTCTTCTCTTGCTGCTATAGCTAACATTTCTAGGACTATTAAATAATAGAAGTGATAATGGGCATCCTTGCTTCACCCCTGATTGTAATGAGAAGGCTTCTAGCTTATCAATGCTTGCTGAGAATTTTAGATACACATTACTTATCATGTTAAAGTAAGCTCCATTTATTCCTACGCTCTCTAGTGTTTTTAATCAGGACAGATCCTGTATTTTGTCGAAGGCTTTTTCGGCATCTATTGAGATAATCATGTGATTTCTGTTGATTTTGTTATTGATATGGTCAATTATGCTGATAGTTTCTCTAATATTGAACCAGCTTTGAATCCCTTATATAAATCCCACCTGTTCACAGTGTATGATCCTTGTGATATATTACTGTACTCTCCTTGCTTTTTTTTTTAAACTTAAAAATTTTCCATCAATATTCATTAGGAAAATTGGTCTATAGTTTTCTTTCTCTGTTTGACTCTTCCTGGTTTGGGTATCAGCACTATATTTGTGTCATAAAAGGAATTTGGTAGCACTTCTTCTTTGCCTATTTCCCAAATAGTTTAAATAATATTGGTATTATTTGTTCTTTAAATGTTTGGTAAAATTCACTTGTGAATCCATCTGGTCCTGGGGATTTTTTCTTAGGAAATTCATTGATGGCTTGTTCAATTTCTTTTTGTTATTCTTTTGTTAATCTGGGTAATTTATATTTTTGTAGATATTCGTCCATTTCATTTAGATTGTCAAATTTATCGGCATATGATTGGGCAAAATAGCTCCTAAAAATTGTCTTAATTTCCTCTTTATTGGTGGTGGGTTCACCCTTTTTATTTTGGATACTAGTAATTTGATCTTCTTTTTTTCTTTTTTTAAAATCAAATTAACCAATGGTTTATCCATTTTATTGGTTGTTTCCCCCCTCCCCCATAAAACTAGCTTTTAGTTTTATTAGTTCAATGTTTTTCTTACTTTCAATTTTATTAATCTCTCCTTTGATTTTCAAGATTTCCAATTTGGTGTTTAATTGGAGATTTTTAATTTGTTCTTTTTCTAGTTTTTTTAGTTGCATGCCCAGTTCAATGATCTGCTTTTTCTCCATTTATTGATGTAAGCAACTAGAGATATAAATTTTTCCTTAAGTACCTCTTTGGCTGCATCCCATAACTTTTGGTATGTTGTCTCATTGTCATTTTCTTTAGTGAAATTATCTATTGTTTCTATGATATGTTCATTGACCCACTTATTTTTTAGGATTAGATTATTTACTTTCCAAATAATTTTTAATCTCTCTTTCCATTATCCAATATTAAATGTAATTTTTATTGCATTGTGACCTGAAAAGGATGTGTTTACAATTTCTGCTTTTCTGCATTTAGTTGTGAGGTTTTTATGTCCTAATCCAGGGTTGGGGAACTGACCCTATTTTGAGGTTTTTTTGGTAAAGATACTGGAGTGGTTTGCCATTTCTTTCTCCAGCTCTTTTGACAGATGAGGAAATTGAGGCAAAGAGGATTAAGTGACTCACCAAGGGTGACACAGCTAAGTGACTGAAGTCACCTTTGAACTCAGGTCTTCCTATTATTCCTATTATTATCTGTTTCCTCCTGTAACTCATTCAAGTTCTTCAAAAGTTTAGATGCTATGCCATTTGGTGCAAATGTTTATAGTATTGATATCACTTCATTGTCTATGGTATCTTTCAGCAAGATATGGTTTCCTTCTTTATCTCTTTTAACTAGATCTATTTTTGCTTCTGTGTTCCAGGTCTTACTGCAATTTCCTTCCTTTATTTCAGTTTTCTGTCCCCCTATTCCTCCCTCTGCAAGCACAATTTAAAACTCAGCCTCAGCCTTTCCTTATCTGTTAAATGAGGAATAATAATATCTTTCTCATGGGATTTTGTGAGGATCAAATGAGGTGATACATGCAAAGTGCTTTCCTCTGTGTGTGTGTGTGCGTGTGTGTGCACGCACTATTGTGTATACACACACACATAGTGGAAAGAGCAATGGATTTGATGTCAAAAGGCTCGAATATCCATACTAACTGAGTGCCCCGTAGACAAGTCATCAGAACCTCTCTGGGCATCAGTTTCTTCATTTCTAATATGATAATATTTATATAGTTTGCAACACTGGAACAGTGGAAACCACTGTCAGCTTTCATCATTCCTTTTTTGGTCTTGTCCGAGTCCTCCTGACCCTATTTTGAGCTTTTTTTTGGCAAAGATACTGGAGTGGTTTGCTATTTCCTTCTCTAGCTCTTTTTACAGATGAGGAAACCGAGGCAGAGAGGGTTAAGTGACTCGCCAAGGCAGACAGCTAAGTGTCTGAGGCCACATCTGAACTCAGGTCTTCCTGACTCCAAGCCCGGCGCTCTAACCACTGAGTCACTTAGAGGTCCTTTATCACCCTTTTACAATTGCAGAAAGCCATGCACAGTTTTCCCGCAGCTTCTCACTTTCTTGGGGGGAGCCGGGGTGGAAGCGTGTGGCTCGATCCTGCACAGCGGCTTTCCTGGCGCGCGGGCACGAGACGCGGGGGCGCGCACGCGCGGTGCGCCCTGCTCCGGCCTCCCTAGGGTTCCCGGCCCTCCTCGCCGCAGCCTCAGCGACTTTCCAGCCAAAGCTGGAGCCATTACGGCTGCGCGGGGGCGGGGCGGAGAACACGGAAGGTGGGGGCTGCGGCTGCCGTCCCGGGGCGGAGGGCGGGAGCACGGGGCGGTGTGAGGGGAGTGGGGCCAGGGCGTGGGGATGTGTATGCGGATGACAGTTGTGGGGTAGGGGGCCGCCCCAGACGGAGGGGAGGGGGAGCAGGAAGAGGAAGAGACCCCGGTGGCGGCGGCGGCGGCGGCAGCGGCAGCGAAGATGCTGGAGACCCTGAAAGAGAGGCTGCTGAGTGTGCAGCAGGATTTCACCTCCGGGTGGGTAAAGTGCAGGCGAGGGAGAGGAAGTGCACCGAGAGCCGCGGGGCCTCAGGTGCCGGGGGCAGGGGCAGAGAGGGGGGGAAACGGTCCAGCCGGAGCCTCTCCCCCGAGCCCTTCCCTCCGCGCTCCAGCCCCGCTTCCCTCCGGGCCGGGGGGGCGAGAACTGGCGCGGCGCCCGAGAGTCACGAACTTTCCCCGAGTCTGCGGGGGCTGGAGGAACTTCTGTCCCAACCTCGGCCCTGCCTCTCCGCCCCTCCGCCCCTCCCTCCTCTCGGCCGGCGCGCCTCCCTCTTCCTCCCCTCCCCCCCGCTTTGAGCGCGCCCCCCGCCGCGAGCGGGACGCCCCCCCCCCACCCCCTGGCAGCGCGCCTTCCTCCAGCCGTGCCCGCGGTGCCGCAATGTCCGAGCCGGTGCCCCGGGTCTGCCCTGCCCTCCCCTCTGCAGCCGCTGAACGCGGGCAGTCATGTGAACTGCGCCTCTCCCCCTCTGCCGTCCCCCCTCCCACTTCCTCCGCTCTCCTCTGCCCTAGGGTTGGCACACAGACGGAGTACGGCGATGCCCCCGGGGACGTTGCTGCTTGTCTTCATGCATTTAACTTAATGGACTTCTCCTGCGCGAGCCCCGACGGGTGGTCTCTAGTACTTTGGGGAACGGGCATCGTCTCTGAGACGAGGAAGCCTAGAGCCTGCACCGCTCCGGAAGCCCATCTCCCCATTCCTTTTTCCTCACCTTTCCGTCTCTCCCCATCCCCGGTCAGTAGCACCTCAGTCTGAAAATTTGCCCTCCTCCCCCAGGCCCATGTCTCTGCATGCCCATGCAGAGTTTGACGCTTGAGTCACTGCGGTAACCTTGGCCCAGCCGCTTGGTTGTTTCAGAGTCGTTGCCTTCCGAAGATGTTTTATAGCCTGCTCTAAGTAAAATTTTAGTAGAAGCATAATTTGGAGGTTAATGCAGTTCCTTTTGGAAGTTTGAAATACTAGAAGAAAACTTTAACGCATGTTATGCTTTTTGCTTTTGCACCACTTCAAAGTGTCATCTGTCAGTTATGTTTAGCTGCAAATCCCTTTGGAAGCACTGTTGATTGTGAGTTCCTTTCAAAGTAGAATGTGAATTTGTGTTGCTTTATAAGTTTCTGTATAGAAAATAGAAGCTAAGTCACTTCACTGGGTTTCTTTGAAAGGATGTCCAAGCAGTACCTGTCTTTTGGATATTTCGGATGTAACTTCATAGAATCTTGGATTTAGAGCTGGAAGGGATCTCAGTGATAGTCTATTCCAGGCATTCTAAAACTTTTTGTATGTCATGGACCCTTTCGCCAGACTGGTGGAGCCTGTGGACCCCTCTCTCAGAATAATATTTTAAATGAGTAAAACAGGATTACAAAGGAAAACACATTTCTCATCCAGGTTCAGAGACCCTCTGTCCACAAAACCCTGAGCTAGTCAAACCCCATGATTTCATAGATGCATGACTTAAGCCCAGAGAAGCTGAGGCTTAGCAGGGCAAGATCAGCGATAGGATAAGGGGACAAGGGATTCCAGAGAAGAATACAGTGTATAGTTGAACTGGTTTAATAAGGGAAGGAGGGAGAGTGTAGCTGAAGCAGGGATAGATGGTCTCCAAAAGAACTGAAGGTTCATTCAGTCAATTAACATTTATTAAATGTGTACTAGATACTAAACACTGTGCTAAGCACTAGGGATACAAAAGACAGTCCCTTGCCTTCAAGGAGTTAATAGTTGGAGGTTATGATGAGGACAAAGAACAGGTTTTTGGTTGTCAGGCAGAGAGAGAAGTAGAATGACAACAGGAGCATCTGGAGAGCCTTGCTGTTTATAAAAAAAAAAAACTCTTTTCAGTGGTAATCTAAAAGCACAAATAGCTCTAGTTGTGGGCAGTCAGGGCCCTTTGGACTTGGTGGATTTCTGTAGACCAGGTGAGTTACCATGTCCTTTACCATATCCAGCTCTGATGACCAGATACGTTTCTATGTGGAGATGAGGAAAGCTAAGTGTCATTGTATGTTTGTTATATATCCTTGCTGTGTTAGGGTAAGTAAGCCTACTTTTGTTGATTTTTTAAATGATTTACAAGTGCTTCATTTTGTCCCAAAATGGAACCTGAACTAAGAGAGTGCTGGTGTTAGAGCTGTCCTGATATCTTCAGCTTTTCTCTTAAGTGAAAATGATGGATTTCTTGTCATGTTTCTCACATGGGGCATATTGGATGGTATTTAGTACGGAACCACCACCACCATGTCTCGGTGGCACTGTGGGAATTTGGCATGAGGAGGATTAATAATAATTGACATTTTATATATGTAAGATTGCATCTATAAGAAAGGAACTTCTTGGGGACATTTTTGAAAACTGATCTTTCCACTTAGGGGTTATCTAAACTGAGGCCAGTTCAGGGCTAGCTCCTCTGGGATCATTTCAGACGGGATTCAAACTCCTGTGTTTTGGTTTATTTTACCGATTTCCAATCAATGGACAAACTAATTAGACACCATCAGCCTGTTAACTGACAGGTGCGCACATGCTTGAAGTTAGAGAAGAAACTGATCTGTTATGTTTATGCCAGTGGATTGTGAGCATTGGTAAGTTCCTATATGCTTGAAATCAATCGTAAGCATTTATTAAGTGCTTAATCAATGGTATTTAAAATTTAGCTGGGAGAGTTGGCTGGACCAGACCAGATCAAGTACACAGTAAGAAAACTCTTCCTGCTGGAGATGATACTTTGCCAGGCACTATTCCGTACATTGGGGATACAAATATAATAAATGAAATAGCTCCTACCTACAAAGAGCTTACATTCTACTTGGAGAGGCAAGTCTATAAATACAGGGAATAAATACAAATAGGTAAAGATTAGTTAAATACAAGGTAGTTGGAGAGTGAAGGAACTAGTAGTTGAGGGGATCAGGAAAAGTTTCATGTAGAAGGTGGTGCTTGAGCTGTATTTTGAAGGGAGAGAGTGATTCAGATGGAGTAAAGAGGGTATGTGTTCCAAGCTTGGGGGAAGGGGGACAGCCAGTGCAAAGACAGAGAAATAGGGGATGGAGTATCATATGTGAGGAACCGAGAAGAGTCCAGTCTGGTTGCATGAGAGAGAGAGTGAGAGAGAAAAAGATACAATGATAGGGGCAAGGTTGTGAAGGACTTTAAAAGCTAAATAGAGGAGGTTATGTTTGGTTCTAGTGGCAGTAGGAAGCCACTGGATTTTAATGAGTGCTTAACATGGTCAGATTTGCATTTAAAAAATCACTTTGGCAATAGTGGTGTAGAGAATGTACCAAAGTAGGGAGAGACTTGAGGATATTTTTGGTGGCAGAATTAGTACAAGGATTTTTGATTCTGTGATTAATCAACTTTTACTTTAATCCTTGTTAACTTCAGAGTGAATGTGTGCACAAGGGGTGAGGGGTGAAAAATGTGTTGAAAAATATAACTCAGGTTTGAGAAGAGGAAGAAGTTGAAGACTTATGGATTACTCAGAAACATCACATCCGCATATCACGAATAGTGAGTTGGAAAGAAATGGATCCAGTAAGCACCAAACTGATCAATAATCAGACAAGGGAAGCACAGGGAAATGTTTGGGTTTGGTAGCATCATTGGAATATTCTACAGACCAGCTAGATAGTAAAAGGAAACATATGAGGCAGAGAAACAAATTATAAGCTTTGTAAGAGTCAGCTATCTGTAGTCAGGTCAACTAGTTAAGTAAAAGGTAAAAATTAACACCAAATTTGAAGAAAGGATAAAGATAAGTCACTGTAGTCTAATAACCTTCAGCCTGACCTATTGGAGTGGACTACTTGGTTTTTTTTAGGGGGGGGGGACATTTATTTATTTATTTATTTTTAATTTATTTTTAAATTTTTTTATTTTTAATGGTAATTTTTGTTTATTTTTTTGTTTTCAACATTTACTTCCACAAGATTTTGAGTTCCAAATTTTCACTCCATCTTTCCCCTCCCTCCACCCCAAGATGGCATGCATTCTAACTACCCCTTCCCCTAGTCTGCCTTCCCTTCTATCTCTCCCACCTTCTCTTATCCCCTTCCCCTTCAATTTTCCTGTGGGGCAGGATGGATTTCTGTACCCCATTTCCTGTATTTCTTATTTCCCAGTTGCATGTGAAAACATTTTTTTTTAAAACATGTGTTTTTAAAACTTTGGGTTCCAAATTTTCTCCCTTCGTCCCTCCCCACCCACCCTCATTGATAAGGCAAGCAACTAAATATAGGTTATATATGTGCAGTTATGCAAAACACTTCCATAGTAGACATGCTGTGAAAAACTAACTCTATTTCCCTTAACCCTATTCCGCCCATCCATTTATTCTATTCTTTCTTTTGACCCTGTCCCTCCTGAGAAGTATTTGCTTCTGGTTACTCCCTTTCCCAGTCTGCCCTCCTCTCTGTCATTCCCCTACTCTCTTGTCCCCTTCCCCCTCTATTTTCCTGTAGGGTAAGACAGATGTCCACACCCAATTGAGTGTGTATGTTATTCCCTCCTTAAGTCAATTCCTATGAGAATAAGATTCACTCATTCCCTCTCACCTTCCCCTGTTTCCCCTCCACTGTAGGAGCCTTGTCTTTTCTGGTTTTTTTTTTTTGTGGGATAATTTACCCTGTTCTACCTCTCCCTTTCTCCTCCTAGTATATTCATCTCTCACCCCTTAATTTTATTCTCCAGATATGATCCCTTCATTTTCAACTCACCCTTTGCCCTCTATCTGTCTATCTATATGTACGTACATATAATTTTTTCCCCTCCAACTACCCAAATACTGACAAAGGTCTCATGAGTTACAAATATCATCTTTCCATGCAGGAATGTAAACAGTTCAACCTTAAGAAGTCTCTTATGATTTTCTCTTTCCTGTTTACCTCTTCATGTTCCACTTGAGTCTTGTATTTGAAAATCAAATTTTCTATTCAACTCTGGTCTTTTCATCAAGAATGCTTGAAAGTGGAATGGACTACTT